AACCAGCTGCTCTACAGGAGAAAGACAAAACTATCTGCTTCCACAAACACTTACAGCTTGGAATTCCTATGGGGCAATTCTACTCTGTCCTATGGGGTTGTTATGAATTGGAATTGACTAGATGGTCGTGAGTCTGGTGAAGTTTTGTACAGAAAAAATTTAGGATTAACTGATTTTCGTAGTGCCTAAGGCACTTGAATGCTAACCAGAAGGCTGGCGGTTCAAACCCACCAGCCACTCCTTGGAAGGAAGATGGGGCAATCTACTTCTATAGTGATACTGCCTCGGAAACCCAAGGAGGGGTCGCTATGAGTCGGGTCCCACTGGACAGCACATAATAACAACACCAACAGTTATCTGTCACAAATAGAAAAGCCAGGGCATATGTCTACACTTAATGCTTGTGAAAATGCTTCGTAAATTCTACACTTCTATGCCAAAATTTTTATCTATGCTACTTTCCTTCATTGACTATCATAGCAATGTGTTAGCAACTCCCCTAGTAATGATAACATTATCTTATTGTATTGCCTTGATAGATAGAGGATGGAGGAAACAATTATAGGATAAAGTTCCTAAGGAAGTTCAATTATATAAATAGAAAATTGACCTCAGAAAGTGAGAGAACAGTGGTGATTTAAGAATTACCACCATTAATTCACAAATTCTCTTCATTCAATATCTTCTAAAATCAAACTTTAATCTCTATACAGATATAATTATTTAATTTCATTCTGCTGTCAATTTATAAAAAATATAATGTCACCTAAATTTTGAGCATCCTTTACTTCCAATTATATAAAGGGTCTCTGTTTACCAAGGATGTATTATTGTCTTCAGTACAAAGAAGGTTCAATAACCTGTTTTTGTTTAAGTGAATCCAGAAAGTTTTTACTTTTACCTTTTGGAGCTGTATCTAGATTAATTATCTTACTCCAATTTTAAGTTTTCCACAATATGGCTTCAGGGGATGATTACAGTTTTATGTCCCATTATACACCTCTACTCCTCTGTACTCCATCTAGACAAATGATTCTCAAAATTCCTGAATCTTAATGCATATATGTATTATTCTTATACCTCTGCTCAAGTCATTCCCTTTGCCTTGAAACATGTTCTATCTTCTCTCCCTGTCCATAAAAAATTACATCACATTTTATAAGATAAATTATATGCTACCTCCCCCAACCTCAACATTAACTAACCAGAGTTAATCCCTCACTTCATTATTCACAAAACATTACTAAAAACTATCTGAAGACACTTCCTGTAGTCTTACTATTATGTACAATTAGTTATATACTTGGGTCTACAAAACTTTGCCCATACTAATGGGCAGTTGGTCCACAAGAGCATAGAATAGCAGTTTGTCAAAATGAATTTTATAGTATGATTAAAAGAATGTATATTTAAAATCTTTGCAAAAATGAGAGTTGAGAACAAAGCATTTCAGAAAGCTAGTAAATTCTGTATTCATTGCTGCAAGTCCAAAAAGCCAACTAGTCAAGATTAGTTATCTATTTTCCATATACACTAAGCAGGATGCTTATCTCCTACTCAAATGACCAGTAATGGTTTTGTAAGTAGTCATATTGTGAATGTCTAACCTTGTAACGGGAGCCTTGGTGGCACAGTGCTTACAATCAACTGTTAAACAAAAGGTTATTGGTTTCAATAACCCAGAGCTCTGCTCTCACAAAGGTTTCAGCCTAGGCAACCCTCTGAGGCAGTTCAACTCTGCCAAATAGGGTTGCTATGAGTTGGAATCAATTCCACAAGAAACAAGAATAACTTCTGGAACAAGATTAGCAAGATAAGCACTTGACTGTTAACCAGAAAGCTGGCAGTTCGAACCCTTAGAAGGAAGATGAGGCAATCTATTTCCATAATGATACTGCCTCGAAAACCCAAGGAGGGGTCGCTATGAGTCAGGGCTGACTTGATGGCACATAACAAGAACAACTGTTGAAAGTCTGTTTTAAAATAAACAAATATATAGAATCATTTATGAAAGAATCTATATTTTATGTAATATGTGACTTCAAAAAGACTGCTTAGTTCCATTTTTAAGGAAAGAAAAATTTTTAATTATTAAGTAATTTCTAGAAAAAAAAATTTATTCACATAAAAATAAGACATACTTTATATCATCAAACTGGCAACTATATAATCTGCTTATCTTTTATCCATGCCATACTTATAAAAATGAATGAATAATGTTTCTTAAAAAATAGCTATTAAAATGGAGATTCAAATTAACATTACACAATATGAGTGAGAACCTGAAAAAATTACAGTGCCCATATAAGCATAATTAGGATTTTAATATACAGATATAATGTTGATTTCAATGTTATGGACTAGTTTATGTAACCCTTGGAAGGAAAATGGGGCAATCTACTTCCCTAGTGATACTGCCTTGGCAACCCAAGGAGGGTTGTTATGAGTCGGGTCCGATACGATGGCACATGACAACAACAACAATGTTAATTAAACTATATTGCTGTGTAGATTATTTTTATTCTTGACATTTTTGCTAGTCTTCTGTAAAAGTTGTTCATCCTTACTTATTTTCTTATTTTAACCTATGTTGTTGTTATTGTTATGTGCCGTCGAGTCGGCCTGACTCATAGC